GCTTCCCCGGAAACGGCGCGGGCGCGCGGCCGGGCCCCTCCTCCGGACACTAAAGGCGCTCGCGCCGGGCTGGGCGAGGTGGGGGTCCGGCCAGGCGGCCCGGAAAGCCTGCTCTCCGGCGGCCAGAGCAGGGCCCCGGGCCTGCCGAAGGCCGAACGAGGCCGGGGCGGCCCGTCGGTGTGTCCACAGAGCCACTACCCGGGCAGACGCCCGCCCGGAAAACCTGCAGCCTTGGGGAGAAGGAAGGAAATCCGTATTTCACTCATTTAGTCCTCTTAACGGAGCCTGGTGGCGCAGCGGTTAAGAGCTCAGCTGCTAACCAGAAGGTCAGCACTTGGAATCCACTAGCTGCTCCTTGGAAACTCTATGGGGCAGTTCTACTCTGTCCTATAGGGTCACTGTGAGTCGGAGTGGAGTCGCCTTAACATCCTGCACCGGAGGGGGTTACACCATATATATACACAATTGAGGAAAAAAAGAGGCTTGGAAATTAATGGACTCTTCCAAAGGTCACAAGCAGTAAGTGGTAAAACGGGGCTTGCGTGCAGGAGCGGCCTCCTGGCGTGGCAGCAGTGAAGTCAGACCAGCGGGGCACGAGCGCCTGGCGCGCGCTGCACACCCTGCAGACAGTGTCCGCTGCCCAGGCTGCGCTTGGCTCCTCTCGGCAGTGATGGGCATCACCCGAGCGCTGGTCTGCAGGATGCTAACAGAGCTGCTGCAAACAGCGTGAGGGTGGAAAGTCTGACCGTGGATGCTGGTGATGGGCGCACGGTATGAATGATGTAAGTGGTTCCATTAAACTGTACAAGCGAAAAATGTTGAATTGGCAAGTGTCGTGTTACCTACATTTTATACAACAATAAAAGAGTGTGATGTGGGCAAGGTATGGGAAATCCTGGCTTCAGCCAAGTCAAGTGATTCTCTTACTTCGGGACTTCTTAGAGTCCTTAAGATGTTGACGAGCATGGTGAAGCACCACAGGGAGAACATAGCAGGCAGCGCTCCCCGAACTTACTTCACTACAGAAGGATTATCTTCCTGCGCAGGGGTCCACGGCACAGGAGCTTGAGCAACACCATGCTAACGACACGCACATAAACGGCTGGGGGTCTAAGATTCATTATCTCCCTTTCCAACCTAATTTCCTTCTTTTCTCACCAGCCAGCCAAAACGAACTAGTCTAATCCCGAGGCAGTGTCGTGGCTGTAAGGGTGTACACGAGGGCTCTGGAGTCAGATGGTCTGGGTTCACGCATAGGGTTCATCACTTACTAGCTTGTGACCTCGGGGAAGTCACATAAACTTTCTAGGGCCACGTTCCTCATCAAAATGCTAACACCTGGTTCTTGGTGTTGTTATAAGGACTAAATGAGGTAAAGTCCGTAAGACACCAGCCCAGTGCTCAAGTGCACAGTAAACATTTGCTTTCACTCTTTATCAACCACACCTCTGCTCTCTGTCCTCCGTGCTTACATGCTTGCTGTTCCTCCTAGACAGCCCTCCGTCTTCCCAGCTCTGCTCATCAAAACACCACCCTTCTTGCAAGGCTCATTTTTGCAGCTGATTAGGGAAAATCTTAACACTGTCCCTCCTTCCTCTTTCCCCCAAATCCCCATAGTGAAACAAAAAAACAGATGCGGTCAAGTTGATTCTGACTCACGGGGACCCCATGCGGGTCACACTAAGTAGAACTGTGCTCTGTAGGATTTTCAATGGCTGATTTTTCGGAAGTAGATTGCCAGGCCTTTCTTCCAAGGTGCCTTTGGGTGGACTCAACCTCCAACCTTTTGGCTCCAGCGCTGGGAAACTATTCTTAAAAACGGGGTCAACCCTCCTGTCTTTACATTCTGCGATGAAGCACGTTGGCAACTAGGTGGCGCACGGAGGTAAGTGAGGACCCTGGAGGCTGGGATTTCCGTGCCCAGAAACAGAACAGGGCAGTAGGGAGCCGGGAAACAAGCCGAGCAGCGCGTGGGTCTGGACCGCAAAAGTCACCCTCGAGCCCTCTGGAAGGCAGGGGCAGCGCCTGGCCTGGCGTGAGGACCCTGTGATGGGGCAGGACGGAGGGGCTTTGAAGGGCTGCAGACGCGCGGGGGCAACCCTGAGGGGGTGTCCTGACCCTGCCGAGCATGTCACAGGTGCTGCCTAAACAGAAACCAGGGTCCTCGAGTCGACTCCGCCTCACGGAGACCCCGTGTGTGTCAGAGGAGAGCTCTGCTCCATACGTTGGTTTGGTTTTTCAAGTTAAAATAATATTTCATTGCGGTCTTGGTGAAAGTTTACACAGCAAGTTAGGTTCCTGTTTGACAATTTCCACACAAATTGATGGATGACATTAGTGATGTTTTTCACATTGCGTCAACATTCTCTGTGTTCTGGTCGTTCCATTTCCAGGACTTTAGTTTCCTTGCCCCCTTCTCTTCTTTGCTTTGGATTAAATGTTAACCTTTTGGACAAAAGATGGTTTTTTGGTAGAGCACCGCTCTGGTGGGTAATAGCCTTTATTTTGTGTGTGTGTCTGTTTTCTGCTAGAAGGCGCTCTCGGGATAGTTTTGCTTCAAGGTTTAATGAGCCTCTCAGGGTGACAGTGTCAGGGTGTCCTCTGGTCTCAGGGGGTCCAGTTGGTCTGGCCTTTTTTAAGAATTTGAGTTTTGTTGTTTGGGGTTTTTTTTTTGTACTTTAGATGAAGGTTTGCAATAACAAATAGTTTCTCATTAAACAGTTAGTACACATATTGCCTTCTGACAGTGGTTAACAACCCCACGACATGTCAACGCTCTCCCTTCTCGACCTTGGAGGA